AGATTCTGAAACCTTTACATTTACTTACATACACAGAAGAAAAAGTATAGAAGCATGCAATGGGGCCCTTACAAACTGAGAAAAACCCAACACATATTTAATTCAGTAGAATTTATTCATAATCAGACTTCCCATTTGGAGTAAATGTCATGACATGGTGATCAAACACTCTTTCTAACTTTAACCAGGCCCAGTTCTATTGATGCCTAATATTTATGGGCAGTATCAAAGTCTACTTTTATTTATGTCATTTTAAATTTTGAGCCACGACTTTTATTGTTTCTGAGCTAAAATCCAAGTACAGATTGTATGTCTGTGCAATGCCATCTATCTGTGTTTAAGAGGTAGAGAAAAGCTGCCCTATCTTATCCATACAGCTGGAAGTGCCATGTTACATTATTTGCAAATAAGAATTTTTATTCATATCACAATGTAAATTTGTAGCATTTTAATTTTTTACTTTCCAAAATAATAATTTCCTTGAAGGTGAAGGATTTACATTTTATTTTTCTCTTTTATAAATATTCACTAAAAGATATATTTGTGCTTTAGCATTGTCTCTAGTCCCTTGCACATATCATGAAATGACATTTCTAAACTTTGTATTCTATCTATTCAATGATGATATCAAATTTTATCTCCAAACTAAATTACTCTCTTGGGCTCCAGATTCACACATCAATGTATTCTTTGAAGGCCTAATAGGCATTTTAAACTTAATGCTCCTAAATATAACTATAAACTATTCTCTTCTTCCCAATCCCAAATATAACCTCTTCCAAGCCACTATATCTCAATAAATTTTACCAGCTAATCAAAATGGGAAAAGAGATCAAGACGTTATTTTGACTCTAAGTGTTTCATCTGTCAACAAGTTCTTGCCCTTGCACCAAATAACTATTTTTGCAAATCTGACCACTTTTTATTTTCTTTATTACAAACCAGTCCAGACATAATTTTGCCCAGGTTCTACTGTAGACTCCAACTGTGCTCTCACCCATGACATTTGGGCTTCTACATTAGGGAAAATAATCATTCTGAATAATAGCAGACCCCATTTCTCTTCTGCTTGGAACCCCAGTGACTTCTCATTGTACACAAAAGGCCATTTTAAAACTATGTGTAAGAGGCCTGTTGTGAAGAATGCTAACATTTCTCAATAACCTCTTTTCTTTTCTTCCTCGAATGCTAACATTTGTCAATCACTTCTTTTGTTTTCTTCCTCATCACATAGCTAAACATGCCCTGTTCCCCTACTTCCACCTTGACTGGAACAAAGGGATGTAGGTGGAAATGGCAGCCATCACTGTAGCTCTGGCTCATGAAGTTTTTTCCTGGTCTCCTTTTGTGTTGTGAGGTGATGTTGGAGGCTATGTATTAAAGATATTCCATAAGTTGAAGGAGACAGGGTTCTTTATTGTCTCTGTGGAACTAGCTTCTATCCCAATCAGTTCTTATCAGTGTGCCTCATGTATAAGGCATACAGCTTAGTTGTCAAAGTTATATGATTAGGCCTTACATAATCCTCTGTTAATCTTTCTACTCACAAGTTCAGAAAATGAGAACCCTGGTATCCCTCTGCTTGAACTCACCTCCAACCCAGCTGTAGGCAGGGATATTTCCTTTCCTTCAATCATGTATCACTGCAAATGGCACTTTTTTCCAGACAAGTCTTCTCTGACTTCCCCTTCCTGAAGCAGCCACTCTGCAAGTGTCTTGCTACATTATTGTAATAAATCTTTTTAGCAACTGTTAGTACCTGGAATTGTCCTTTGTTTTTATAGAGAACTCACGGTGTAGCCATGGCTGGTCTTGAACTCACAGTAATCCTGCCTTAGCTAGAAATACAAGTGGATGCTACCATACCTGGCACTGGAATTGTCACATTGATCTTTAATAAATAGTTTTAGCTAATTGACTAGTGTATATAGGTATATATATATATATATATAATGTATATATTGTATTTATAGCTCAATTGTGTGCATATGTATATATGTATACACACATATAGTATCTCAGGTGAAACATGGCATTTCTAATACCTCCGTAAATTGAATATAAATAAGGTACTCTACAAAGCCACAGGATTCAGGGGCAGAATCTACTGTGTGATTCTAGTTTTGAACTTATAGACAATTGTAATAAATTAATCTTTCTGAGGGTCTTTTCCATATTAAATGCTATACTATGTGGCTGTGATCTCATGAGAAATAGTATTTATGAATATGTACCACAAAGCATACAGAATTCATATTATATAAGAGCTGAGGGAGCATTCAGAACATTGATAAAATACCTTGTCTGTAGACAGCGTATGGTGTCTAAATATTTTTTGGATAAACAACTGATAAATGATATGTCTATTAATCAGCCATGATATATCATAGAAGTACAAGATTTTGTGTGGTGTATGTACTGCTCTTTCTTGATTACTACCATTTCTCAGGGCTTCAGAATAAAGAACTGCTAGCCATTTGTCATGTAATTTGAGAGCTGCTCCTCAAACAGTTGACGTTTTCTAGAGGCTGACTGATTAAAAGGTCAATGTGACATGTGAGAATCTGAATTTCTGTTCAGAGACAATGGTGACAATTTCACAGTGGCTCCAGTTAGTGTTGTTCTGAGAGACACTTACTCAAATTGCATTTCATTGACCCCAAACCTGCCCAAACTCAGTAAACAGAGAATTGTGTTGTCGGAACATGTTTCAGTTGTTCATAATCAAGTCTCATAACCAAATAGTTATCAGTGTTCATTTTTCTCCAGGTACAGCAGTCATCATATCAAGCAGTATATAAACAGTGCTTACGCATTTTTGTAAGAAGTGTTTTTGGGAAGGTAGGCCTTTTTTCTTGTTTAATATTTCTATTAGAAGAGGAAGGCTTGTCCCCTGCACCTGCCTTGGTGAGCAGATGAGTTTTGGCTGGTTATTACTATTGTTCCTGGTTCTACTATGGAGTGTACAATAAAGTGATCACAGGTCTCTTCCTCCTGGGAAGTGTTTTGCTTTTATACTCAGAGGAGATTCAGGTTGTAGGAATGCTTCCCAAGCCTCCACTGTCAAGGCTAAGAGGCATTTCAACTCAGGGCTTGGGACTGGAAGGTCCTAGAAAGCTCAAAATTTTCTCTTATTAGCAGAGGGCTGAAATGCAATGTGAGATGTATCACAGTTGGAATTTTGAAAGCATTGTCCCGGGGGAAGAAATGATAGCAGAGCAGAGTATTCCTTTGCCTAGTTTATATTTCCTGTTGTGCAGAAATATCCATCAATTGTGCATTAAAAATAATCAAAGTCTCCCTATCCTGAGACAAGATTATTTCTAATTTTGACAAGGTCCCCAGACAAAGTAGCTTTTATACACCATTATGCAAGTTTTCACAAAGCAAGCATTAGCAGCTTTGTCCCACTTTGTATTACCAGCAAAAGAAAATATTCTTGATATTTGCTAATGAAATCTACAAATGAAGCCACATTTGAATCGAGACCTAGGAGAGCACTTCTATTAATGGTTTATGGTACTTACATAAAAGAACATAAAGGAACCTGAGAGATTTTTGTGTCAGGATGAAACTGAAATGCATATTGCCCACCAATGAGAGTATACAGGAATTTTTTTCACAAAATGGATTCTGGCTAACTTAATACTCTGCTATAAGAGTCTTTTTACCTTGTGGATGTGTATTATTAACCAACTTTATGGTACTAAGTATATTGCATTTATATGTCTAGTGAGGCCTGATCCAGCTTTTTAAAATTGTACTTAATTAAACACTAGTGCCTCATTGAACCTGCTTACTCTGGAGGGAAGACAAGTACAAGATCACATGGGCCAGTGCTGTAAATATAAAATGGGTCAATTATAAGCAGTTGTTTATGCTCGGGGCGGGTGGACAAAGGATACCCAGCCATGGCTAACCTGACCCTCCCACACTTAACAGTTTCTACTGCTTTAAAGAAACAACTTTGATCAAGAAATTAAGCAAAGCCAATTAAAGTGGCCTCAGGTCTCACCTGCGATGATGATAAGTAAGTCCCATAGAAACTGGAAACTGTTGTGTAATGTTCATAGAACAGGTATGCGGTACGTTAGATGTGCAATGGGAAGTAAAGGAATAATCTTCTGCTCACAGTTTCATTTACACCTGGAGTTTAGCACTTTGAAATTTTTCTTGCTATATAAAACATTGTATGTATGAAACTTGTGCATATGAAGATATCCTTATGTATCAACAGGAAGACATGATCTAAAAATTACTCATGAAAGGAACTATCACAGGATAGAACATTGATTTTAAATTCAGTTTGATTGGAAGGTTTTCTTAGTAAGAACACAGCTCTAGTTCAGTTGTTTCAATGACTATCTATAATTTCATTATATGAATGGATCAAAATTTATCACTGTCTTTGTTGAAGTGTAATGTGCTTTTATTTCTGTGACTATAAATAATGCTGCCTCAAATATCCACATAAACATTTATCGAGGATATGCATTAAATAAATATCCAGAGACTGAATTGCTTGGTCAAAGGTAGGGTGCTTTGAAATGTAGATGATTTAACAGTCTGTTGTGTGGTAGACTGGTCCAAGTTTGCAATCCTGTTTACAATCACTCCTTCCGTGTTGTCCCACAGGAACCCCCTCCTCACACTTACCCAAAGCAGCTTTTGGCCCACGATTAGTTTCTCATTATTTATGTTAACAAGCTTGGACTAGGGTGATCTGCCTGGAAAAACTTTTATAACAAAGTAAATGATTGGAAATGAAAATAATATTACTTTTATCCTTTATTTACATGTGAAGTTAGACTGCCTAGAGGATTTGAAGCCTGAATTAAATAGTTTATCCCTGAGATCAGTTAAGTAATGTATGTGAACTTGAGTTAGCTAGATTTAGTGGCTCAGGGCAGTTTATCTACCTGGAACCACCAGACAGACCCTAATTGCCTTTGGTTAGTCTCAGGCAAAGTTTTCCTGATGTTTGTTATGATTTTTCTTCCAGAGGAAAGTGTGAACTCAGTTTCTCACTGTCACAAATTATGGAGTGGCATTTCCCACATTTGGGGAAATTGCAGGGGACAACACATTCAGAGAAGAGTTGATAAGCCTTGCCCTGGGAAAGCTACCTTCCTGATGATGTCATCTCCCCTGGCAGGTTAGTATCTGTTATGATTTTTAATTATTTATTTTTCTTTATTATTTTCCTCATACATCTGATGTAAAAGAAAAAATGGGTTACTATAGCTACTAATACTTTACATGTTTTCTGGTCTTTTCTTGCCAATGTTTTACAAAATAAGAAAAAAAGCTACATGCCAAAGCTATGAAATAAAGAAGGCATCACACAATACCCATTTTAACCCGTGTTTTATTTGTTATTTCCAGTTAGGCATACTGTGTTCTCAAAACTGGGCACTGTTGATTGCAGCTTTCTGCAATGGAGGTCGGGTTCTGGATGGTCTCACAGTCCTGATGCTGTTCTTTCTCCGGGGTGCTTTCTTGCCTTTGACTTTTATTACTATTTTTGTTTGTATTTGCATGTTTTATTTAATTATTGGAAAAAGAATAGTAATTCTCATCATGGCTATTCCTCCTCAAAATTTTCATTAAATTCAGGAACCAGTGGAGTATAAAGTGATTTCCTCTTAAACCAAATTGAGTTTCAGAGTTGCTTTTGTCTCTACATATTGTGATACTGTGAAAGTTTCATTTGGATCTTCTACATCTGGAGCAGGCTCTTTCATGGAGGGCATTTGCCGTGCAATCACTGGGAGGGCTGGCCTCTGAGAGCTGCCTTTGCTCCTCCTTAATTTTGGTGGACTCTTTCACTGGCTGTTATCCGGATAGGCATTTCCACTTGGTCGGCATCTATCTCCTAGTTCATCTAGGCTTCATTACACCTGGTTGAGCTGAATTGACTCTGTTCTCTTTTATTCACACTGGCTCCCAGGTGCCCCTGCCAGGGACAGTAGGCATTCATTTTGTTCTTGGCCGAGTTCCCCATGTGAGTTGTGGTTGAGTGCCTGAATCTTCTGAGAACAGTGCTGACTCTGCCTCTATCTCTTCAGCTACCCTTCAGTTACCCTTCACTTCAGGCCGACAAATGTTTCACTTTTTATTTAGTGGCAATTACATCACTTTATGGTGGGAGTGTTGTTTTTTTTTGAAAGTCAATTCTGGTATTGAAATAAATAAGATATAATTGTAACTAGTTAAATCCCTATATTATCTGGGTTTATTTACACACAATAAATTTAGTATTATATCTAGTTTTTGAAAATATAAATGGTACTATTCTTTTTGAGAATAATATTTTCTCTAAATATAATATCTATTTTTAAAGTTATTTAATTTTGCATTGAGATAGTTGTATGAAAATTCTATCCTATCTATCTATCTATCTATCTATCTATCTATCTATCTATCTATCATCTATCTATATATCATCTGTCTGTCATCTACTCATCTATCTTCTATCTGTCACACTTTTTTTCCCACTTATTAAAATTTAACATGAGACTGCTCTGATTTCAACCTCAATCGCTTAATTTCAGTTTATGGAATGATTTAGTTTTGATTAAGTTGGAGTACCAATCATAGAACTTAGTGGATAATTGGGCTTGGTTTGTCACTTACCCTTATATTCATTCTCTATTTTCTTATTAATAAAATGAGGAAAACAATTCTTACTTTAAGACTTGAAATTTGAAAGTCATGAATGAAAATAATAGAACTATCATGCTTTATTAGTAAAAGTCATATGTAAATGTTTAATATTATTATTCTTGTTTGCAGACTAATAAAATAATTTCAAGTTTTATATTCCTAAATATTTCTTAAAACCAACCTACAGGATAGCAATTGGAAAATTCTTCATCTGGGTAAATTTCTCAATTCTTTTTACCCCTTCAGTGGCATTTGACACTATTCAAGGACCAGTGATCAGCTGTGAGAGATTTCGAACAAGAGGCTGACGAAATTGGATACACGCTTTTCAAAGGTCACTAGGCTGAGTGTGGAAGTGAAGTGAAGTCAGACAGTGGAGTGATCATTCAGGAGGCTGTTGGAGTGACCACTGAAGAAGATAATGGCATTTGGATGGGCAGGGAGCAACACAGGCTGATGGAAGTATCAGGGTTTTAGCCTGATCAGCTAGAAGGAATTCTGCATTTTTTTCCTGTGTTGGCAAACAGGAGCATTATAAGATTTTTGCTGCTTCTTGCTCAGATGGGGAACACTGAAGAGATTTACAAGTCAAAATTTGCTGCTTTTCACAGGGATAGGAAACACAGAAGAGGAGCACATTTGTGGGAGAAACTATTGGTTATTTCCCTACAAATTACAAGTGACCTATTTGCGGGCTTAATTATCTTACAACTGTGTATATTTTCCTGAAATCCAAGAAGATAGTAACCTAGTGATGGTGATTGAGGCCATAGAAATAAATAACATTGTTTAGGGGGGAATTTATACTCTGAAAGAGAAAAGGTTAAGACAGCATCTTTTAAGCATAAACAGAAGAGGCCCATTCTCTTAGTAAGGACTGGCTGAAGCTACCAAAAACTGTGGCATTGCCTTTATCTCGGGCAATCGGAGCTGCGAGGAAGAGTGGTCGTTAGGACAGTGTTCCCTGCTGCAGCCGCACAGATGCTAACTAGGAGCAGAAGTGCAGAGTCTACAGGATTTAGCAAACCGGAGGACATCATGCCTTCCAGCTAAAGCAGCATTGATCAACTAAAGGTGGTAACCTGGAGAAATGTGGGCTTAAGAGTGGGAAGCGAGAAAGTAGGCATAGAAAAAATGGACGGTCTGCTTCTGCAGAGCACATGCTTAGTCACTTAAGAAATGTAAGTAAATGAGATGCAAAACACCCATGAAGGAGAGATGGGGCCATTTTCATTTTGAGATAATTAGACTCTCTGCACATTTGAATTTCCTTTGGATGAAGAGTATAACAAAAGAAAATAAAGCTAACAGGAAAAAACAGAGGATGGATAAGCAGCGGGGGAGTGGGGTAGGGGTGGGGGTGGAGGGGTGGTGAGGGGAAGGAGACAGTTGTGGATGGTATCACAGCACTGAGGGAGGCATCAGTATTGGGATTCTGACAGCTTTCCCTGTGACAGGAAGAAAAGAAAAATAGGCAAGGTTTCAAACAACTGCGAGTTGTTTCCATTGGCAGGGTATAGTTTTCTCTAGATACGGAATGAAAGCAATTTACCGGCTTATGGAGGAGCTGAGGGAGTTTGAAGATAATGGAAATATTTGAAACAGGTGAAACTTGCAGAGTGAATGAAGATGCTAAGGAAGAAAGTAGCAGAAAGTTTGTCAGATTTCCATTCTTACCAATAATGGATCGAGATCTTTGTGTCTTCACCCCTAGCTAGTACTCCTTATGTCTTGTCTCTTTGGGAACAGGTTTGCTGATACCTCATTGTGGGTTTCAAGTGCATTGATCTAATGCTAGTGATGTTGACAACTGGTTTAAAACTGTTGACTTTCTGAAGCCTTTTTAGAGAAATGTTTATTGAAATCCTCTGGCCACTTAACTATTGTGTTGCTGAAGTTCCTAACCACATTAAAGTGGTGATTCCCTATGAGACGCAGGGTGGCTTGCAAACACTTCCTCCCGTCTGTGGAGCGTCTCCACTTCGTTGATATTTCCTCACTGTGCAGAAGCATTTTAGCTCAATGCAGTCCCACTGGCGTCTGTTTTCACTGCTGTTGCTTGTGCTTTTTGTGTCAGAGTCGAACAATCGTTGCCCAAACTCGTGTCAAAAAACACCCCTGCTTCCCTTTTGTAGACCCATGGCTTCAGGTCTCCCTTTAATCCATTTTGAATTGATTTTTGTGCAGGGCTTGAGTTAAGGTCCTAATTTTATTCTCCTGTAGAGGATGAGGTGATTTCTCTAACACCATTTATTGACGAAACTGTTCTTCTCCCACTGTGAACTCTTGGAGGATACAATGAACATTTCTGAAAACATTCGTAACTAGAACTGCTATGTGACTTACCAGTCCCACCTCTGAGAGTGTAGGTCTACAAACAAAATCAGAATCTCAAGAAGATACCTGGACTCTCATGTTCATTTCAGCACTGACTACAACAGCTACAACAGCCTAAGCGTCTGTGGTGGATGGATGGATAAAGATGAACACAGACACATACACACACACACACACACACACACGCACACGCACACGCACACGCACACGCACACGCACGCGCACGCGCACGCACACGCACACGCACACGCACACGCACACGCACACGCACACGCACACGCACACGCACACACACACACAAGTACCCTGGAATATCATCAAGCATTTAAAAATAAGTTCAAAAATTCTTAGATCAATCTGCAGTGTACTATGCAGAGGAACATCTGCCAGATATGCGTTCACTTAAATATGGAATCTAAAATATCATTTTGTGGAGACAGAGAGCAAAATGGAAATACAGTATACAACAGTGTGACCATTGAATATACTTGAAATTTGATTAAAAATAGGTAGACTTTTTATTTGATACAGGGTCTTCCTGCTTAGCCCTGGCTGTCCTTGAACTTAGTATGTAGCCCAGGCTGATCTCAAACTTATAGAGATCCTCATACCTCTGCATCTTGGTGCTGGGATTGAAGACACGTGTCATCATGCTAGCCATAGGTACAATTTTAAGAATAAAATATGATTTTAATGGTAAAAGGAAATTCAAAAATTATCTTCTTGATAGATAATTATTGGGCTTAAATTGAAAGACTTTCTAGGTCTTAGATAACATTGTTCCAAAAGTGACTTTGGTCTTAGTTAGATTATTTACTGTTCTATTTTTGAAAGGTCATAGCATTCTTAGCTGCTCTTGGCCTTGATTCCTTTTGGACAAAGAATTGCAAGAGAGTTTGTTTGCTTTGTTCTTTCAAAATAGCCTCTCTTTTGTCAACTAACTTTACTATAAAAATAAATTGTTGCTGAATGTAAGATTTAAAGGTTTATTTTTCCAAAATTTTTCTTAGTACTATATTCCTATACTCTCTCCATTAATTACAAAGTTGACTATGTTTTTATGCCTTTCTAACACAAGAAAAATATTGAGACAGTGTGTTCCCTAAAATTAAAATGTCATATATAAGTACATGGGAAGATACTGGATGGTCAGTATTGAT